TACTTTTACAGTATGCCTGTATTTCTGCCAATACAGGGCTAGAAAATCTATTATAATTCTATGAAATGAAAGAAGACCATCGTTTTTCATTTGATCTACAAGAGTCAGCTTGTTTCTCTTCTTCTTGGTGAAAAATTTGAACTGTTACATTTTTTGAACCCTCCTCTCTAGCCCAGTTTGCGCAACCTTCACATTTCTTTTAAATCCTATTCTTTCAAAGATTATATGACTAACTGAAGTGTCATGTAACAAACTACACTCTTCACACAGTTCAATGCTTTACCTTTTGTATTTAATTTTGAAACGACAACACTTTCGGGATTATGAAAATAACGAAGGATTAAGTTGCATTATGTTAATGCGGTAAATATCTTAATCTTCTGTTTTTCTGAAAGGTTGGCTAAAGGGATAAGAAGCCATTCCTCACTTCCCTCTTTGAGGTTTATCAGTTTGTGGATTGTATTGCCCCTTCAAAGTAATCTCTCATAAGTCTGAATTGGAACACTTTGTAGTGCTTTCAGGAATAATTGACTCTATTTACAGTACCAAATTTATGACCATAAAGAGAATAAAATGTCTCAAAATCTAAACACATCTCACCATTTTGATTCATGAACTCAGCTGACTGGCACTTTACGATGATGTCATGTAAGCGATGTGAGATAAAAAGTGCTTAGAAAATTGGAACACCTCCGCATTGTCTGAACTAGACGAACGCAGCTGACATGTCCCATTTGCATGACTCTTCAGGAGCTGAACTCATAAAAAGTCGGAAGTAGCGGGCTTGTACGTCTAGACTGGATTATAGATGCTTTTTACACAAGTTATAAAAACACATACCGAAAAACAATCACTGTCTCAAGCTCATCTTTATGCAAGAAAAGTTCTTCGGGGACCTAACTGCATTTGAGCCCCCTTTCTTGGAAACTTCGCGCAAATAGGCCCTCCAAATCATGGAAAGCGTTCAAAATCTTACTTACAATTAGTGGTGTGAGTAATTCTTTGCCTTTCATTTAGAAAAAATTCTCTCTGCTCTTAGCAACGTGTTCTTGTTGTGTAGAATTTCATGCAGTTTAGAGTCGCCTGTACCGCGGCTGTGCCAGCGCCGTGCCGGAGCCCGCGCGCACGCATCCCATATCAATCGATTGATGTGTCGGCACGGCGATAGCACAGAATTAGCGCGGCGCTGGCACGCGCTTCCCTGACGCAAGTTGCAGATGCGCTGCTCTAGTTTGATGTGAGAGAAGTACATAAAAATGTTTACCTATACTTATGATGTAAGCAGAGGTACAAGGAAATTTACCTTCAAGGTGGAAACCAGAAATGGCGCATGTTGGTAGGTTGATAGCTTTTTCTGACTTCGAATGCATTTTATGGATTTTTCAAACTCTTTGAAGGTAAATAGAAGATTATGATCCTGCTTAATGAGTATTGCATTATTCCAAACCAATAAATGTGCTTTTTTATCTTCCTTGCATCTGGCATTATTTTTTGGAAAAAAATTGTTTCCCAAAGATTCTTGGCTTTCTACTCTGCGCAACAGTAGGCAATTTCATAGAACTCATCCTATGTTTTTTCTCAAACCTGCGAATCTTGAATCTCTTACACTGGAGATACCTTGTTGTACTTTCATAACGCAAAGTCACAGCTTCAGCGAACCTTTTTTTTTCTAAAAAAATCATTCTGCACGCAAGCTTTGAATGTGTGTAAATTATACATTCTATTCGTTCTCACTTCTATAGCCAGTGATTATCTCTCCTTCCATCACATCACTTTAGATCTGCCCTACAAAGAGCCATTTACATGAAATCACTTTATTTCCTTTCGGTTTGATAGGAGAGCTACAATTAGGTCCAAAATAGAAGTTCACTTTATTGTAGTTGAGGAAATGAAAGTCTGAATTGGGTATATATATTTCGGAATTTTCTCAAAATTGTGTTCGGTTTCAGAATTCTTTTTCTGATTATTTTTTCTTGTGCCTTTAATCCTTCTCTCTTCTTGTACTTCTCTTTCTTCCCACTGAATAGAAATTTCACGGAAATTCCAAAGCTAAAAATGTATTCTAAATTTAGCATATGCGACGGAAGTTAGTTTTTCCATTCGTTTCCCAAAATGCACCATGGATAATGCGTCAATTTCATGGATACGTTTTGCATCTCTTCTCATTAAAATTTGATGAATGTCTAGTCGCAGTTGTATAGTTTCGTCATGCGTCATTTCACATAACAAAACTTCAAAGACAAATACACTCAATTTTTTTCACGACGTTTATCTGCCTCTAAACTTTGGCACAAAGCTCATCCGATTTTCTGAGAAAGGCATTATCTTACAAGCCATTCCTTCAAGATAGCTAGGAGATTGACTAGAATTATTGCTCAACATAATTCACCTGGAGCGTTCAATTTGTGTTCTAAGGGAGACGTGCACAAAGTTTATTACGGAGATAACAGCCTCATTCTGCAAAACTGCGTCCCATCAAGTTTTGGCTAGAAAGAGTAACGAGCGAGTGTTGGGCATGAGTTTTAGCTCTTTTGTCTCAAATTCTCATGGTCCCCTAGCTCCGTGGTTTAGTAACATCAGAAATTTTTCCATGGAACCATAGTGCAGCTCTTCTCTAAAACTGAGTAATTTAGAATCTCCACAACTCTCCTTTTAAATTTTCCATTTTTTTCTTTCAGAATATAAGGTCACTTCTGTTTCGAATAGGTATATCTACAAAGTAATACGTTTTCTATCTACAAAGTAATACGTTTTTTACGCCATTTCCATCCAAAATGTACAGCAAACTTTGAAAAGATTTGCTAATTCTATAAGACTTTGTTTCCAGTAAATTTTAAATGGAGAGAAAAGCAAAAGGCACTGATAATGGCGAAGCAGGAGGTGAGGTGTAGAATCAACTGAGCTCTTGTTAGTTCAAAATTCTGCTTTTTTGCAAGCTCGCAACAGTCCACCCCCGAAAAAAAGTTAGCATCAACATAAATTTCTTCTGTGTAGACGTAATTTACAGAGCAAACTTACTGTTTCACAAAGAAAAACGAAGTTGTTGCTCAGTTCCAAGCTTTGAGGAAGGTGGGAAGGGAGGGGACGGGTGAAGGGAGAGGGGAGGTAGGATGGGGGGGGGGGAATAGCTTTCTCAAAATTCACATATGATCTCTAATAACTGATCGCAAAACGTTGCAAAAGGTGAAGCGGTACTTCACGTAATTTTCACAACAATTCATTTTTTGAGCAGTGACATAAGAAAAATCAGTTAATAGCCAAAACGACAAAACAGGGGACGTTATCGGCATAATGAATAATTCCGAGATCTACAGTATATCTCCCCTTCACCCTCCCCTCTCTGCGTCCCTTGCCGTAAAAGCTTTCTTTTGCATAAAATTTCTTTCATCTTTTCCTTTTTAATTGCTATGTGAGACAACTTGCTTCCAATTTATGTCCACAACAGCCCCAAGTCTCGATATTCTAACTTCAGAACCAGTTTGAAATTCTCACAGTTTATTTGTGTTAGAAATCACCGAGGTTTTGTATCTAATCATTTGATGTTCTCAAGTCCAGATTCAACTATTGAACAATTACAGAAAGTTCACCAAGACCTTCTAAGAAAGTAAATGGAAACTTTTTTAGCATACAAATTAGGTTTTCGTAGTAAACAGTGCATTCTAATGATGCAGAATTGCACTTTCCCATACTTTCACATTGTCATGGCAAAGTGCAAATTACTACAAAGTTTGCACACTCTAACAAGCTGTCCTATCGCCTCCATCTTTGGCTACAATTTTCGAGCAAATTACATTTCATACAAGCTCCAGCAACTCTTTGCAACACATCAAAGAGCTCACGACTAGTAATGTGCACCGAGAAATAATTAAAGCTGACCCAAAAGCAAAAACAACTCACGTGTCTGACACTAAACCGGGACGGAGCACAGCTGCGTTTGGCTGTTACTCTCGCATTCTCTTCAAAATCTAACTCAATTATTTTCTCTAATTTTTTTTTTGTTTCTTCTCGAACTGGTCCATTGTGATCTCTGAGTCTTGCAGCGTTTCTCATTAATCAAAATGCAGGCAATTAGCTTCAAAAGAGCGGTTTCGGGCATCACAAAGGGCTTTGCAGAGTCTATTCCGAAAAAAGATAATTGGATTGACTTTTTTGAATTGAAAAAGTTTCCGTGACTATTTTTACATATCGTTGCAGAACTTGAATATAGTCAGAATCTGTGAGAAAATCTTCTGCAGGCGCGTTTTTGCAACAAAAGTTGCATGCTCAGAATTTTTTTCACCTTATCTATGTTTACATTTTTTCTAAGCCCATTTCTCTTTCTCTACCTCTTCTTCCCTCTCTTCGTGCAAGTCTTTTTTATTTAAGTTTGCGAACTTCTAGACAAACTATTATATTTACTTTCATTTGTTGAAATTTCACCTGCTCTGCAACGTCTGTCAGTCAAGTCATGCTTCTTTCCATTAAATCGGCAAAGGTTCTAAATTTCAAAGAAACCAAAGTTTAACGACAGAGAGTGATTAATGATCTGACATGCTTGTATTGGATGAATGAAAGAATGGGTGAGTGAAAAGGATGACTAAAAATGAATGAATGCGCATGTAATCAAGTAAATTCTGTGAAAACCACACAAATAATTTCTGAAAAAAAGAAAAGAAAGCGAACGCGATCTAGCATTAGAAAAAGAAGGATTTTACGATGGAAGGATATTAAACGAACAAACTTAGCCTTAGTTTGATATGAACATCATCTTCCTACTGAATTTTTTTCTTTCTAAACTACTTCGTCTTTTCGTACTAACCTAATCGTTTGCTCGTCAACTCCCTGAAATTATCAGTTCAATTTCCGCTTCATTGAATTTTCTGGCTAAATCTGTATCTCAATAATTTCTTTCCCCACCATTCCAATAGAAACCCGTAATTATCCATTATCTTCAGTGGTTCTACTTATACATCACCACATTTTCAGATTTCTCGCTGAGCTGAAGCTACAGGTGTGTCCGAATGATGGAAGTGCTTGAAAAGGTACGTGGTTCTGCGGTTTTCCTGCAATTTTCTTGTTGATAGCTTATCTAGATTGAATAGCCAAGATTTCACAATCAGGAATCCAATTTTTACAAGTCATTGTATTGTGCAATATTTTATACATCCACTGACGCAATCATTATGGGTTCTATTATTGTTCGAAAGGACATTTGAGGAAGCAATACTTGAACCCTTACTTTGGCGCTTGTTTTGACTAAATAAGATTTTCGCGTATATTCTAAATTAGTTCGTACACTTTTATTTTTTTGTATTATTTGTATAAGGTTAAGATTAATCAAGTATTTTTTTTAGATATTTTTATATTTGTGTTTTCTCTGACTTATTGTTAGTTACATGAGAGCACATCTCAGATATATCGCCTTTGATGTATCCCTTCTATACGTCTGCGTCTCCAAATTTCGCGCTGTCTGTCTGAGCTCAGTTATTTGAGGGACTTCTGTTGGTACTTTTCTCACCTGTTTAAAGAACTCAATACTGTATCATTCTAAACTTAATTCTTTCCACGCTGGGAACCTCATCCAATTTGTTCTTTTTTGTCCTGAGCAAAAACTGACAAAGACTTGTTATATATTCAATTTTTTTCGCAGTTTTTTTCAAGATTTTGCAAGAAAAGTTCGTATTCGTAATGTAAACGATGTCACCAAGCTCAGCTTGTGAATTTTGCGATTTATAGGGCAGAAATCGCAAAAAAAGTTTTGTATAGAGTTTTATGGTGAAAAATCGCAAAGTTTCGCCTTGTTTGGAATTTTTCGCCCATAAATGTTTTGAAGAGTGTCAGCAGGACCGAAAGCTACCTACAAGATCTGTGAAAAAGTATGAAGGACCCGCAAAGAAAGGCGAGTTTCCTTTGACGTGCACTCTTTTCTTAGTTTGGAAACTTCTCCTTTTTTTCACGCTATTTCTACGATATGTTGCACACATGAGGGGCTCTAGCACTTATCATTTTAAAAACTGTGTCTCTAGATTTCCAAGGCATATGACTGAGAGAATTTTAGTTGGCTCTCATTTATAATATCGTCATCGTTTACTTTCACATACAAAGTCTCGTGCTGTTGTCCTTGCGTCTGCACGTGCCTCAAAGAATCTGGCTTCTAAAGTTGCTGGAAAGTTTACACAATCAAGAAAGAGCTTTCTTCTTGCGAAGATAAACAGTTTCAATGTTGACTTAAAAAGTGACAAAGAAGGGAAACATGATACTCCAGTTAGCCTTCATCAATACTGAGTCGGTCCAAGTGTTTACGCCGTTTTTGGACTCATATATGCAAACAAAAATAGATAAAGCAGTTCGACACAGTCTTCTTCCCCTGTTTAATAGGTTTTCGAAACGAATGCTCTGCAGTTATTCAATCAAACAATGATTCAAAAACAGTGTTATTTCTCTGTCAAAATCTAGGTATGTAAGTGCTGGAATTTTTGGAAATCGAAGAAGATTCCAATGCAAGTAGAGCAAACTCTTTCAAACTCTGCAGTACTTCCCGTGCTCTTTTCGATAAGTCGTTTTCAACAAAATTCGAAATTTCGTCTTCATTTCCAAGATCTCCATGAGGTGTGAAATATTCAGTCTATCAACAAATCGATAATTTTCCACACAGAATGAGGATCACGTTCTGTCATTTTCTTCAAATCTGACTCACTATTTTGCTAAAAAAAGGGATACAACATTAGGTCTTTTCTTTTCGAAAAGGGGTGTAGCAGCACTTTGAAGGGCTCTAAGAGGGTGTGGTCAAAACAGAGCAGAATCACTTTAGGAGAAGTCATTAGTGAAGGGCCAATTGTGGCATTTACAAATTAGCGAGTGAAGGTGGCTAGAAGTCTTCGTCCAGTTGGAACGGCTGAATGTACGTTTTCAATCTTGTTTATAAGATTTTGGAAACAGAGTACGACAATTTTTTAGTTATTTTGCGTTTTCCTTGGGTTTATAGTCTTTCTACCTATAAATCGAGGCGCCAAATAAATTCATTCATTTAGAATCGAATTTTTTTTACATTTCTTCCTTTTTGGTCTATAGTACAGGGTGTCCCAAAAGTCCTTAAGCCTAACTTTTCAACGTAGTAATTTTGTTAGTATTCCTCGCTTCTCAGCCAAATTTTGCATTTGAGTTCTTCGTCTAGTTGCCAATGTTCTTCAAGAAAATCATACCGTTTGCATTGTACATTCTCGAGATACACTTCTTGAAGCAAACAATACTACAATCGTGAAGACAAGCCGAAGGAAACATACCCCCTATTCAAATATTTACAGCTCTTTTGCCTTTGGAGCTCTTGTGGAATTTTAAACTGCATATTGTAGAGCTAGATTCACTTTACATTGGCGTTGCAAAACCAATCAATGACCTTTGTTCATTAGAGTAGGATTAGGATACAAACACTGAAGTTGTGCCGTGCCAATGAGAAGAAAAAGTTCTCGGAAACAAAAACCTGAAAAAGCTGGAAACTCCAACACCGAATCAGCTTGAGTCACTAATTCTAGCTGTAAGCCCTGCATTTCCTACTGAAATACCATTCTAAAGTCACTCCCGGTACACCATAATTGCTGTTTTCTTGGTATTCTCAAACACTTGAATGCTACATTTTGGCGTTTTTGTCAAATCTCACAAATACAGTTGTGACAGTGGAATGTGAAAAATTTCGGCGAATTCGCCGAATTCGCCGAACTCGCCGAATTCGCCGAATTCGCCAAATTCGCCGATGTCGCCGAATTCGCCGATGTCGCCGATGTCGCCGACTTTGCGTCTTTTCGTCATAACTTCCTTCGTTCTCAATGGATTTCAAATCTGAAGGCAGATTTGGATTCAGCTCGCCGAGGCGAATCTTTTCATATATTGAACTGCTGTAATCGGGCGGTCACGGTAAGTGCATGGTAGGAATTCGTTGCATCCTGTGGTGGTGTTTTCTAGAGTGCGTATTTCGGCGCATAATGTAGGCAAAGGTTTAAGATAAAGAGCGTTTGATGGAAGAGTTTCTGCTAAGTGTTTCCAGCAGAAAACCATATCCATTTTCGTAGTGGAAAAAAGAGAAAGGAGTACGTGAACTTAGTAAATACACATGAACCACTTACCGTCAAACAAACATAACTATACAGTAACACTATGATTAGCAAAACAATTATAATCTTTGTAAACAGCATGTCTTGTTGCTTATGTGAGCAAAGTGACACGCCGCATGACTATGATATTCTGCTTCCAGCAAAACTTCACTTTTTTCTGCAGACGCCCCTTTGCAACGCTGTGGGCCATCCCCTTTCACACTTAAAAGATTCCGGTAAGGCGAATTGGAAAGAGTTGTTTCCGTAGATAATCCAGCGGTGAAAAGTGACGGAGACATGCTTTATAAAGCGCGAAAAGAGATGGTGAATTCTGCAAAAATTCACGCGCCTTTAAATTCTACTCGCCATAACTTTCTCCAGAATAAGTATATTCTGAATCCGAAGACGGTGCTGTGCTCAGCTCATCAAGTCGAATCTTTTGGTATACAGCATGTCCTTTATACCTCAATTTCAGTATTCTTGAATTTTTCTGCGGACGTTTCTTCTCGAAGGTGTAAAGCAGCGAGCATTGTCCCGAGTAGATTCCAGCAAGGACCTTTTGATAGTATTTCTTCTGTAGATTATGATGCGCTAAACAGTAGCCGCAATTCTCTTTTCAAGGGAAAAAGATGGGCTGGTGAATTGGGGAAAAATCTTGTCGTCCCAAATTCTATTGCTAAGCAAATGTGATTATCGTAATCAGCAGGTCGGATAACCACTATGAGCAAGTTTTCCGAGATTTTCGGGTTATTTCATTTTTTCTCGTTTTACGCTGTGGAAGCTCGCCGATGGATTTTGGTCAAAATGTTGATGCTCTTGAATTGTAAGGAAACTTCGCTTATAGAGGTTTTCGAACACGCTCTTTACGAAAATCGTGGTCTTTGAGGATTACAGTGTCTTTTTGGAGAGATACGGTGAGGTAACTGTAACTGCACCACGAAAGTGCGTAACTTTGTGGTTGCATGACTAATTGCAAATGTTATGTTCACCCCGCCCGTGTTTTATACAACCACTCACGATGGAATTTCAACAAAGTACGCGATCTTTACATTTTGTGCAAATTTCATGAGGACGTGTTTTCGTAGGCTTGTAACTCGGCAAATTTTATAGACTGGAGCCCGATTCATGCACCATTCGACAGCTCAGTTCCTAGTCACTTTGACTTAGAAAAGCAAGCAAGCAAGGTTTCTGAGAGATACGTGAGGAGTGCGGGCAAAGTTACGCACTTTCGTGGTGCAGTTACAGTTACCTCACCGTATCTCTCCAAAAAGACACTGTAATCCTCAAAGACCACGATTTTCGTAAAGAGCGTGTTCGAAAACCTCTATAAGCGAAGTTTCCTTACAATTCAAGAGCACCAACATTTTGACCAAAATCCATCGACGAGCTTCCACAGCGTACAACGAGAAAAAAATGAAATAACCCGAAAATCTCGGAAAACTTGCTCATAGTGGTTATCCGACCTGCTGATTACGATAATCACATCTGCTTAGCAAGAGAGCATCATATTCTATGGCTATGGCGAGTAGAATTTGGGACGACAAGATTTTTCCCCAATTCACCAGCCCATCTTTTTCCCTTGAAAAGAGAATTGCGGCTACTGTTTAGCGCATCATAATCTACAGAAGAAGTACTATCAAGAGGTCCTTGCTGGAATCTACTCGGGACAATGTTCGCTGCTTTACACCTTCGAGAAGAAACGTCCGCAGAAAAATTCAAGAATACTGAAATTGAGGTATAAAGGACATGCTGTATACCATAAGATTCGACTTGATGAGCTGAGCACAGCACCGTTTTCGGATTCAGAATATACTTATTCTGGAGAAAGTTATGGCGAGTAGAATTTAAAGGCGCGTGATTTTTGCAGAATTCACCATCTCTTTTCGCGCTTTATAAAGCATGTCTCCGTCTACTTTTTGCCGCTGGATTATCTACGGAAACTACTCTTTCCGACT